GGGTGAGCTGATGTATACTTCATGCTTCGTACCACAACACACGTCATCCTGATTAGAGAGAACTTGGGCAATGCATCAGTGTTCTGAAAAAGGATGAAGAGAACATACTGTGTGTTTGCTGATATGATATCTCTGCTTGCTCAAACACCACAGCCTTCCTTGATAACCATCTGACTTTAATTTTTTACACACTGCTTCACTCCCTTGCATAGAATGACTATGCAATTGTATAATCTTTTTGTAGGGATGCCATCAGGTCAATTCCATAGCCTTCCTTTTCTTGATTATATAGAAAAATTCCTATGTTTCCATGGAAATTAATTGAATTCCAGAACTTATTGTATGTGGCCAAAATGGCACAGTTTTCTTCATTCTAACACCTCCTATCATTCCAGGGAACAGCTGATGGTGCCACTGGGATTTTCCCACGTGCTTTTGTGAAGATCATAAAAGATTTACCACAGCAGGAAGACACAGTTAATAAAGTTCGCTGTTATTACCATGATGAGACTGTGAGCACTATCAAGTAATAAGAAATGAATCTTCTAGTTTACTACTGAAGAAATGCCCACAATTCTCTTTTCATGATATGTAACAAATAGGTTTGTTCTTGTTACAGGGATATCTCAGTGGAAGAGGATCTGAGCAGCATTCCATCATTCAAAGATCTCATGGAATTGATGAGGTACAAAGCAAGCAGTTAGCTGTATGTTTAATATCATTTAAACATCTGTCAAGTTCCTTCTAGTCCTAGATTTTCCATATTCTAGTTGGTCATCACCATGTACTTTGACTTGGCCCAGAGCCACCTGTGCAGACACTAGTCTGCCTTGAGATTGTCACTAAATATGGAATGCCACACACTTCTAACTCAGTTATGCTGGGTAGAAGTTTCCATTTCTTGTTCTAAGCTCAGAGCCATACATACTTCCATGCAAGGACCTTTTGTCTAACACGCTTCTTCAGGATGCAGGACACCACCTTCTAACACCTGTTAAACTAGTATTAAAACTAGATTGATCTAGTGTTGAACATCAAATATTAGTAATAGAACACCTGTGCTAATATTCTTCCCTTCCTTAACCTGCTGTCCCCTCAAAAAAATCAACCCTAAGTAGGCAAAAGTGGGTAGCAACTACAGTGAGCTCATATGTATGGGAATTTTATCAGACTCACAGATTAATTGTGCCATGCATGTGGAGTTACTGGAAATGGCTCTTGGTTCTGACAGAATTCTTAGCTTTAACACAACACAGCATGAACGGGGATGTATGATTTCTAGTACTAGCTGTATCAAAAATGCCAAGACACACAAAGCTTTGTGTGGCTTTTAGCAGAATGAATTAGCTTGCCAGTATATTGTTCATCATGCAGCACCTCCCAGGCATTCCTTGATTTCCAGGGATCAATCCATTTCTTTTCTACCAGGCGGGAGTTTGACCAAGATGACATTGTTTTGAATTACCGGGACCACGATGGTGATCTGATCCGACTGCTCTCTGATCAGGATGTTGAACTCATGGTCTCTCAGAGCAAGAGAAGTCTCTCTGAGAAGCATTTCTTCCCTTGGAAGTTGCACATCACTCACAAAGACAACTTGGGCGTCTACAACACTAGTCCAGGAACAGGTGCCACTCAAACAGTTAGAGCAACATAAGTGCTGTATAGAGGTGTTCAGTAGCTAGCTATACAGTCCTTCTGTAATCCCTTTCTGCAGACAATTTCCTTTAACAAGCCTTTGAAGTGATCTTGAGAAGAGTAATTTTTAGTAATATACTAGCTTTCAATGTAAAATCTGTACTTAGTTAGCTTCTTCGTCTTTTTAGCACTCCCCTGCAATGGAGACATCTACATAGAGACCATAGAATGTGAGGAATAGAGAAATAAAATCACTGACGTTATCCACAAAGCAAGTTAGTGTTAGCCTGAAATAGAGGTCTAGTGTCCTGGGCCCCAAAATCTGATCTAATCTCTCTTTCCACTCCCAGATCTAATTATTTGTCTAGAATGTCTTCATAAGCTTTTTTCTAGACTGGCATAATTTTCTCTTCCCTTGCTGGTAGGAAGGTTTGTGTGTCAGTGCTTATGAATGTGTGTTATTATTTCTGTCATGTGAGAGTCTGACTGGGCATTTAGAGTTTGTTCTGGAAGCATCAAGAAAGATTTTTTTATATTTTAGTGAAGAAATTGCAGCCCACCTTTGCTTTCTTCTTTCCACTGACCAGTATTTTGAATTTTGTGAATCAAACCTAGTACATCTGTGGTGTTCCTCACAGACCTTTATGTAATTGTACAGAATACTTATTTCTGCATTCTGGGAAAATTTGTGTGATGCCTATTCAAATAGCATTTTCTTCTCTGTCTATCTTCTACTTTCTGCCATCTCACTGCAAAGTAGAACGAACAAGAAATTCCTGTATCATATTCTTCAACAAATAAAGTTACATATGAGTTTATTTTAGCAGTTTCTATTCAAAAGATTTTGGGGGTGGTGAAAAAATTTTGCTCCTTTTTTTTTTTTCCTTGAAAGTGAGATAATTTTGAAGAAGAGTTCAAATGTTACTTATTCAGCTTTCCATAAGGAGGAGTTAATTATTGTTAAAAAACATATCTTGCAATAATTTCTCTAATGGTCATGCAATAGAAATATTTTCTTCTTGAACAAATTAACGGCTGCTTGTAAGAATTACAAGTTATATATGTTTTACATAAATTGTTTGATACTTAAAATACTGTATTTTAAAAACACCATACAGTCATGGTGCTGAAAAGATACCACCAAGTGTAAATATAATCAGTAAAAAACAAGAAGAGTTTTCAAACACCATACTTTGGATTTGACTGTTAGTTTCTGTGGCATTAAGCTACAATTCCTCATTTAAAAAAAATCTCTGTCCTTGACCCGCTGCTAATATTTGTACAGACGAAAGGGAAGATTAACAAGTATGTGAAGGTACTAAGAAACAGTTAACTAACAATTCATAACTAACCTGCCCCTCCCCAAACTTGCAAAGTAATGTTTTTTCTTTTTCTTAGATGTTACCTGTAATGCTATTAGGTAACAAGATCTTTAACAACAAAAAAATGTGACAAATGTAACAACAAAAAAAATAAGGTGACCTATCTTTTAAACTTGTTTATTGTTTGTTTTTGTTTTTTCTCCATTACTGATGTATATACATAAACTTATTTATATTATATACAATAGGCTTTAATATTTTATTATCTGTATCCCTGCATTTATGCATATAAGTGTATTGAAAATAAAGAGTTTAATAAAGATAAGTGTATTGTTTGCTATGTTGGGATCCATAAATCATTTCTTGACACTTTATTAAGTGCATAGTTCTAGCAGTATACCAATCCTGTAGAGACTTATATAAGAAAATGCACGCTCCAAAGAGTTGTAAGATGTACTACAGGCCATATCTGCTTTCCAGGTACAAAGGTTCCACCTGAAGAACCCGTGCATATTAAATGTCAGAGGTAGATAACCTGTATTCAGAAGAGACACAGATTATGTCTTCCTTTTTTCCAGTGATGCAAGGTTTTAGTTGACATTATTTTACTAAAATGTTACAAAATGTAAGCCCATGCTTCAAAGATATTGTAGCAATGTGATTGAGGAAGGCAGTGAAGCAATGTACAGTGATAATGTTAGTAATTTTACACCTTGTGATACATAAGAGAACCCATTGTAAGTTTGAAAGTTTGCATGGTCTGCAAAGCTTCTGGTGTGCAGGATTACTTGTTACCTGTTCTTGGAATCCAACAGATCAAATAATATCTGAGATTTTTACTGACAGATAGATCCTGTATTGTAACCCACAACTCAGCAAGTCTGTTTGAAGATGGAGGAGCTGTTTGAGGAAGAAAGGAAAGGGACAGAAAATGTCTGCTGGGAAACAAGAAACCTCTTTTCTAAGGGTGGTGGAAGGACATACATAAACTTACTGGCCTCTGAAAATCAGAGCAGGAAAAGTCCTTTCTTCTTTAATCTGTAGTGCAAAGTAAATTCTGCCCATCCAACAAAGTCGCACATTCCCCTCCTTGTCTGCAGGTTTTATATCCACACCTCCTGACAGTCCCAATGACACACAATTTCCTGAGATGCTCTCATATTCTTCTTCTTGCTCTGTACATCTCCCTTATTCACAGTATACATTTTTTTTGTCCTTGTATATTGATGTAGTTCTTGTGAGAGCCTAACTGTGCTATGGTTTTGATCAGTACTACAGGGATTTAGAGAAGGTGTCATAGCAGTGCAGGACAGACAGAGCCTGGCAGTTATATTCTGTATCTAGGGACTCAGCTCCCCATATTTTACCTCTGAGAGTACAAACCCGAGTATGTCTTTGCCTTATGGCTACCTAGCTTTCCTATAGATCTTATTATTGAAGGTTACTGTGCTGAGTTTTAAAGTTGTATTTAAAACAATGTAGCTGGTTTGGATGTAGGCTCACTTCAGATCAAGTCTTCTTACCAGTTTTCTTTTGTTTCCTCTATGTACTATAATACTATTAATTTGTTATTAAATGTTGTTGAAATTGCTAAAACTTACTTTTTAAAATACTACGCATATGTAAGGGTTACAGGGATAAAGGTAGTTCTTTCTTCCTCCCCCTCTCCTCCCTCCTTCCATATATATGTACAAATAAACATAAAGTATGGAATGATCCCTGCCTTGAAGATTGTCTAGCCTACAATAAAGCAAGAAACAGCACCGGAGTAAAAATCAGGGAATTCTTAGTTTTTCTCACTTCTACTGCAGCCAATCGTATATTTTTTTTTTTCTGAAAATACATTAGTCCCATGGTCTGGTAATTGTTAACATGCTGACCGGCAATGACAAACTTCCTTCCTCTCCCTTTCCAGTTAAACAGTCCCATCTAAGTGCATGCATTGGGAGCTAAAATAGGAAGTACTGACTTCCTATTTTACAGTCAATTACACAGACTTTCCTTGAAAGGGTGTGGTCTTCTCTGAAAGTGGCACTTGAGGTACATAAAAGATAGAGCAGTTATTGTGAAGACTTAGTTGCCAAGAAAGTCCTGTGGTCTGTTTATTCTTTCCAGAGAAGTGTAGGTTTGCTTGTTTCTGCATCATAGGATCCTGATGCTGTGGGGGGAGGCTGGAGAGGAAAAGTCGCCCATAAGGTTGAATCACCTGCCTCACAGACAGTTCTGCATCAGGTAAGGGAACTCCTTCCTCTCTGGGGAAAGCAAAATGGCAGAGACTCTGCTCTTGTACAAGGGCTTATGACTCATTTGGAGATGTAATGGTTATCGAAGGGCTCAACCAGCTGTTTCTGGTGTAAGGAAGTGGCATTCAGGAATCTGAAAGCCAACAGGATTTTAAAAGGAGTTTTTCCCATGCTCCCCTAAAGTAGAAAAGAGTCTCAGCTCTGTAATGTATTTGAATGGGTGAGTTTGTTATACTTTTGAACAATTAGAGATGGCCAAAAGCACTTGAATTCCAGTATTGAACAATGTGATCGGTGGTCTTTGAACTACTGAATCTACTTTCAATCTCAACAATCACCCCCCAAAAATAAAAGAGAAATAGTTTATTTGGTATTATCTCTACAGTTTACAACTTGTTTGGGGAACAGCTGGAAAAGTAGCATGTTGAAGAGAAATCTGAAAGTGAATTAATATGGAAATTCAAGCCCTATAGTTCCCTGGAGTTATGTGGTTGGGGATCATATTTTTAAGGAATGGAAAAACCAAACACCCTCGCAGTTCATTACAAAGACTTTGAGCATGAAGAGCAGAATGATGAATGAATTTGAAGGTTGAGTTCTCTTCACAAATTAGGGTTGTTTCTTGTTGCTACTCAGCTGAAAGAATTCCTGCATTTCCTTGGAAATGTGCATTTACTTCATTCTTTGCTCATATTGCAAGCTCACTCAGTAAGAGGACATGGATTTTGTCCTACAATAAACACTTGGTAGAAGTTCTTTCTGAACGTCATTCCAACATGAAGCCTAAAGAAGTTCCTTAATTCAGTTTTACTTCTCTTTATGTGAAATGAAAATGAGAAGCTCCACAATAAGCAGAGCAAGACAGTAGCCAGTGGGCAATGAAAACAATTATCTTCTCAATTAGGATCAAGCTTGTGCGTGGAGGACAATATGAACATGAAACAGATTTCCATCCTGCTGAATCTGTATTTGATCTTCAGTGTCCAAGCCATTCAAGGTGAGTTTCAAATTTATATTGTCTTTTATCCTTCCATTACTGCCTTTTTTTTTGTATCTGTCTACTTCTTTCAGCTAATGCTCTTCCTCATTTTCTTCTTGCTTTTCTGCTTCCTTCTGATACCATCTATGCTGTAGGAGAACAGACATCTTGATCAAAACCAGTGTGTAGCAGATGCATGTGCAGACAGATCAGTTGTATGCTGGTGGTATGGACAGGTGAAACACTGTACAAATGGAGAAATAGATGAGACGAACAAGCTGACTGGTTAATGAGTGAATAAGAGTTTAATGTCTTTCTTCTGATACAGAGAGCTTTCTTTCTTTCTTCTTTCTTTCTTTCTTCTTTCTTTCTTTCTTTCTTTCTTTCTTTCTTTCTCTCTCTCTTTCTTTCTTTCTTTCTCTCTTTCTCTCTTTCTCTCTTTCTTTCTTTCTTTCTATCTTTCTTTCTCTCTTTCTTTCTCCCTTTTTTCTTTCTCTTTCTCTCTTTCTTTCTCTCTTTCTTTCTCCCTTTTTTTCTTTCTCTTTCTCTCTTTCTTTCTCTCTTTCTTTCTCTCTTTCTTTCTCCCTTTTTCTCTTTCTCTTTCTCTTTCTTTCTCTCTTTCTTTCTCCCTTTTTCTCTTTCTCTTTCTCTCTTTCTCTCTTTCTTTCTCTCTTTCTTTCTCTCTTTCTTTCTCCCTTTTTCTCTCTTTCTTTCTTTCTCTCTTTCTTTCTCTTTCTTTCTCCCTTTTTCTCTTTCTCTCTTTCTTTCTCTTTTTCTCTCTTTATTTCTTTCTCTCTTTTTCTCTTTCTCTTTCTCTCTCCCTTTCTCCCTTTCTTCTTTTCTTCATTTCTTTCTCTCTTTATTCATTCCTTTCTTCCTTTCTCTCTTTCTTTCTCTCTTTGTCTCTTTCTCTCTCTTTCTCTCTCCTTCTCTCCCTCCTTTTTTCTTTCTCTTTTCCCTTCCCTTCCCTTCCCAAAAAAATATTTGAGAGAACACACTCAGGTTTGCATGCTGACATCTCTATCATCTGAAAGTTATAAGCCAAAAGTGCAGCACAAATACTAACTTCAGAGAAAATAAAGAAGCGGAAGAAAACAAACTTGCTTCGTAGTGCATGTGCCAGGGTAGGCCTGTATTTTCCCACTTCTCAGTTGTGAGTTTAAAAAAGAAAGTTGTCACTGACAAGAGGTCTGACCATTTCTGGATCATAAATCTAGTTCCAACAAATTAGTTTGGGCATTCTTCCGAATCATAACAAGATTCTTCCCATAGCATCTCACTTTTAAAGCTACCTTTCTCATGTCAAAACCTTTACTAGGAGGTTAGTGGCAAAGAAGTCCCATACAGCAGCACACAAAGATGAAATTAAATGATCTCCATATGCCTCCTGACCATGGTATCTACTAACTCCTGAAGACAATCAGTGTTTGAAAAGTGATACGTTGGCTAGAACTATCTGCCTTGCAGAAACAAAGGTCTTCATTGTTGTTTCGTGTAGCTTGGTTTGGATACTTGTGTATTGTGGAGATGTGCAGAATGGTCACAACTCCACACATATTTTCACATATTTTCTGGTGGCATGAGGAGAGTGCAGTTGTCAATGCCTTCCCCATTCTGCTGGCAGAATTGCTGCACATGCTGTCTCTCACCATTTACATTTGTAATCACTGCATCTTTTTTGCCTGAATTCCTTTCTCAGAGAGTATCCCTATGAAGAGCTTGAGCTGCTACAATGACTACCAGTCACAGCTGACCTGCACATGGATGGAGCATTCAGAGGCTCATGCCCTCATTGGTATGACTCTTTACCACAGGGATAATATTATAATGTAAGTACCTGAAATGCACCGTGTTGGATAAAAGTCTAAAGGGAAATTGGCCACAACTTGGAATCCCAGAAACCATCAGTCAGGTTTTCAGAAAGCATGGCCACCTCTTTCTGTCACTGGGTTAAAGTAAAGGTTGTGCCTGCTTCTGAGAACTCTTCTAGGAAGGGAGGAATGAGTAGGGTGTGTTAGTGGAGTTATTTTTATCTCCTTTACAATTATTTCCCCATAATTTTGTTGTGGGATCATAGATATGAAATAAGATGGGGAGTACAGGTTGTTACTAATGGAGTGGAGAAAACGCTGTCAGAAGAATGCTGTTTATAAATTTAAAAGAAAGGAGAAACTCCCCCGTTATTTTGCTCATTTAGGAGCAACACTGAGTGTATAGTTTTGATAACTTCTGAGAAACCTATGTAGACTGTGTGTTTGTGCGATAGGGAAGACTGGCAAATTCATCTGTGCTATCACTTTTACTCCCAGAGATACTGGTCTGTTTCTGACAGTATCTCTCTGTTATATCTGTTTTCTTATGAAAAGGGAACTGAATCACCAGACTGGATCAATTGTGAGGGTAAGAAAAGGCACGGAGGTTGCAATAGACAAGGGAGAGAAGAAAACAAAGATGGAAAGCCGAGAAGAAAATTAATTAGGTTCTGGGGATACAGGAAGGAAATGAAAGAACTCTCGATTTTATTGTAAAGAAGAGAGAATTAATAGACCTAAAAGCAGCTGAAATCAGTAGAAGGTCTTTGGAACAGGACATTAAAGCTAATACTGCTGGGAGAAGACGGTATAAAATTACTTGGACCTTTGGAGGGTTCAATGGAACATTGTTACATGATGGAGTGTGTGGTTCACATGTGAAACACAACTGAAGTGAACTAATCAGAACAGCAGGTATTAAGTGTGGACAGTCACGCAGCTGAAATCAAAATGGCCAATGATTAAACAAGATCAGCTCATAGATGAATAGTTGACTAAATCCCAAACTGTAAGGTAGTGCTAGTGAGTAGATAGAAATATCTTCAGGACTTCACAACCCTTGAGCTGACTCTTGTTTAAGGGTATGCACATGCATGGTCAGTCCCATCCATACTTCAGCAATATCCCTTCCTAATACCCAACTTTTAAAAATAGCAATAGTGCTGAATAATGCTTGCTGACATATATTTGGCTAGGAGACTCCATCCTATCCTGGAATAGAGTGTTTGGCCTTAGATATTCACAACTTAGTATTTCTCATCTAAACTGGAACAATATAATATACTGGGCGTGAAGCCATAAGCACAAACAAAATTCCAGAGGGTACAAAAAGAAGCAACACATCTCTCCAGCAGCTCAAGCTACTGCAAACACACAAAGCTTATCCTCTCCTGTCTAGTTTAAAATATTGTTTCTAATTTTCATGATGCTCCTTGGCCTGGAGAAAGGCTATCTAAAAGGGTGATTAACATTCTAGATAAAATCTTTAATGACTACATAAGGTCTCTTGGCAGAAATACTAAGGATACAGAAGTACATTTTGGTTGGAGAACTTTTTATAAAGTGTCTTTCTGGGACTGCAAAGTTAATGTCTTTGAGAAGCTAAGGATCATCAGGAAGTTTACTCCCTTTCACTCTGAGTAAAATGTGCATTACCATGACACATTATTTTTCATCATACTATTTCTCACATAAAAAATATGAGATTATGTAGTTAGGCTTAAAACTAACAAAAATAGACTGATACCAAAATATAACATTCTGCTGCACAACTTTGAAATAGGAAGGCATTTGACAAAAATCATGGTGCTAAAAACATTTGCTATATTAACTGCTGCAAAACAGGACTAATAGGTACACTAAGGAGAGGATATCAGTGCCCAAGTAAGTGATAACAACAGAGCAGAATGGATTTAGTTTCAGACATATAATTTTGCATTAACTATAGATCTCCAAATCAGATATTTATAGATCACTTTCTCTGTACACAGGAAGAACAAGGAGATGTTTTGCAAACGCCAGACGGAAAATGACTTACATGAGGCTTCAGACTCCTATGTGCAGTGGGTTTGTCATAACACTTCAAACAATTTTGGAATAGGGGTAGATGATATTTACAGCTTCAAACCTAACGAGATGCTTCAAGCAGAACTAAATGTCAATCTTTTTCAAAATGGTAAGTATTAGATACCAAATTCTCATTTTCTAATGAGTATTTGGGATCTTTGAGAATCTATTTGCCATTCAGACAGGTAGTGAGTTCCACTTCCATTGTGAAACCTGCCAAAGACTTCCACATTGAGAGGATGATGTAGGGAGGGGAGGGGGAAAGTTTCTGGGAGCAGGTGGACTTGGAAGGGGAATTCAAGCAGGAGCTACTTGATGTGGCAGGGATAGGATACTCTGGAAATGGGGAAGCTTACCTAGATGTTTTCTTTCCCTCTTCATGTCCCTGTCCTCAGTATCTCATCTCATGGGTTGTACTTTCACCTTGCAGTTCAGACCCCCCCGCCTCAAAACCTCTCGGTCAGCTTGATGGGATCAGGAGACTTCTTGCTGACCTGGAAAGCAGCTGATGGAAGCCAAGGGCTGGGCAACGCACTGGAGTATGAAGTCACTTACAAGCGGGACTGGGAGTCCTGGGAGGTAAGAGCAGAGGAGCTGGGCTGTCCTGGTTTGGGCTGCAGGCTTTTGGGTGCTTGAGAGCCTGTGGTAAAAGTTGTGCAATTGAATGGCTTTTCCGTTCTCAGGCATGATGAGGAGATGCAACAAATGTTGTTTCAGGTCAGGCGGAAGGGTCTCTCTTTCTGTTTGCAAATGACTTGCCCAGTGAAATGCCATTTGTCCTGAATTGAATACAAAGGTCTGTTCTTCGCTGAAAAAAGCACTGTGATTGGGTTTTCAGTTGGAATTGATTATGCCTTGAATCTTTCCCAAAAGGAATTAAAGCACATTCCAACAAGAGACTGTGGGTTCATGTGAGAAAATGGCAAATTACGTTTGAAGCTGCTTCCCCTTTCAGAAGGTTATGGTTGTTTGGTTGGTGGGTTTGGTTGTTTGTTTTTCATTTTTAAGAGTCCATATCCTTTGCCCTATTGTTTCCCTAGATCTGCATATGTTTCTGTTCTCCACCCGTCAGCCTGATCTTTAGTTTTTAAGAGAAATATCTTGGCCAAATTCCCCCAAAATTCTGCACTGAGCAGTGTTGTAAAATTGCGTACCTGGCGCTGAAGACAACCAGCTGTGGGAGCTAACCCACAGACTGTACCAGACACACCGCTGGCACAGGAGCTGGCTCACAGATTGTGCCCAACAAGCCTGTGCCTAACCCTTCTTGTGCCGTACCGGCAGCATGCACACTGAGGCCCCTCTAGTACGGGAGCCAGGAGCACAGCACGGCAGCATGTGCATGAACCATCACATGCATGGGACTGCTGAGAGATGCAGCCTTGCAGTCACCTCCTCTCACTCTTGCCCTTGTCTTCTCTCCACCCCTTTCCCCATTCCCCAACTGCCCGATTTCCTCCCTCCCCTCTCTCCCTCCTTTCCCCCAACAACAGACAGCTGCCTCGGTCTTGCTCTCCACCACACATTACAATCTCAGCCATCAGGACCTTGTCCCAGGGAGCAGCTACGTTGCCCGTGTGCGAGCCAGACCAGGGTGGGTCAGTGCTTTCTCTGGGCAGTACAGCGAGTGGAGCACAGAGGCATCGTGGGACACCCCTGAAGGTAGCGTGGGATGGAGTGGGGCCGTGCAGGGGTGGAAGCATTGCCTGAGAAGGGAGACCTTTTCTGTTACTTAGCTTGCTCTCATCTTCCCTGAAGGTGGCCTTCACCCCAGGAATCTTCGCTGCCTCTTCAATGGTGCAGATCGTCTGACGTGCAGCTGGGAAGTGAAGAAAGCGATCATCACCTCTGTCTTGTTTGGCTTGTTCTTCAGGGAGACTCCGGCATCAGTGTACGTGCTTGGCCAATGCCAACATGCCTGCACAACTCCCATGCAGTTTCTGCTCTGTCTCATTGCCCCTAATCTCAGCTCAAGCTCTTTCTCTCCCCTCAGAGAAGAGGAGTGCTCTCCTGTGCATGAGAAGGATTTGCCCCATGTCCCTTATGTGGTCCAGAGCTGTGAGATCCCTGTTACCAACTCCAACAGTCAAAGCCAGTACCATGTGTCTGTCCGGGCCAAGACAGAAGAGAAACTGATTGAAGCCTACAAGAACAGTGAGTTGCTATGTTGTTTCTTGCTGCTCCTGGTTGTTTCTTGGACAGATGCCTCTCTGGGCAAGTGGGGCTAAGGACAGTGGTAGTGAAGAAAAGTGGGTGGGAAGAGGAAGGGGAAGAGACCATGACTGATGAAGAAAGAAACTGGGCACTTTGTCAGGTCAAAGGTCCAGGAGAGGTGGCTTGTAGGGGCGGAGTTCCTCAGTGGCACTTGTTACTGCAAGAAATTGGCAGCAGTGGAAACTGCTGTTCAGAAATCTGGGTTGTGACCCAGAGCTTCTCGGTGAGCGATAGTCACCCTGTAGAATTCTCTGTGATTGACCTTCATGAGTGTCCCAGGGGACAGGGAGTTGTGGTGAGAGGTGTCTGTGGGGAGTGTGTCACTATGTGGTTTATCAAGAAGCCCGTGAAGCTCTTGCAGGTTTGTGCAGTGGCCCTGCAGCACTGTGTGAGGTCGGGCTCCTCTGCTGAGTGAGGTGCGTCAGGTGGAGCATCTCTGCCTGCATATATCTGGAGGTTCTGGTGCTGCTTTTCACAGACTAAAGTTGGGAGAGCTCCTGCAGTGGGTGAAAATATCAGGTAGTAGCTCCAGGAGAGCTGAAATTCTCTGTAAATGTGATGGACTAGTACAGATGCTTCAACTATTACTTTACTGTTTTTCTGTACACAGGAAGTGCTATCAATATTAATGGATATGCATATTCTGTTATTTAATGTGGTTTATTGCATTTGACTAGAAAATTAAGATGTGGAGAATTAAGAAGTGTTAAAAAGCTGAGAGCTCTTACATTGCATAAACCAACATTGTTTTCAGTCTCTGGAAACTATTCACAGGGGTGAAAGGGAGCGCTGGACCAGTATGTTGATGAGTACTCTGAAACATTCTGTTTGTTCCAGTTAAGGTGCTGCCACCTGCAAATGTGTCGATAACAGTGACAGAGAGCCAAGAGTATGAACTGAGGTGGACAAAACATGTTTTGGGATATAACTTCATAAAACAGAGGTACCAAGTTGAGTACTGGAAAAACAACCAGTATGAAAAAGTAAGTCTTAGAAAGTGTAGGAGTCTTGGATGTCTCTTTGCTGGTCAAAGGAGAAGAACAGTTCCTCTCACCTCCGTTACTTGTGCTTCTCTCTCCTCCCCAGACTCTCCAGAAATTAGATATCAGCAACGATGAACCTCCTTTCATCTTCACCCTGCAGATGCTGGCATCTTCTACAGAATATAGGGGGAAAATGCGTGCACGGGTGAATATGCCTCTGGATTATGAGGGGCCTTGGAGTGAATGGAGTGAGGAGTTCACCTGGAAGACTGAGAATGGTATTTCTGTAAGGTTTTGTGGACTGTTAATGACTGAAATGCCCCTCTAGAAAAATACATTCTCTCAGTCAGGGTTGAAGTTAGGTCCAGCCATGAGCTAGCTGGGGTTGCTTAACAAGGTAGCTGTCCTGTCTGCATCCTCGCAGTACAGCAGCAATGTTAATGAAGGAGGTGAGCCGGAATGACCTTTTAAGCTTCTTTCCTACTTCAATTCACAAGGTGAGTACAACCAACTGTAAAGTTTTCCACATGGAGAATCAAGCAATGATTCTGCCCCAAAAGTCATCCTTGTTTCCCAATTCCAGTAGTCCATTCTGCTAGCAATGACTGAAGAGCCTGAGACTGCAAGAAGACAAAATATAAGCCATCAGTCTTTTATATTTGTGGAGTGATTATTGGGTTGCATAAAACACACAATGGAGCCTAATGGAGTTAAAACCGTAGAGGCAGAATGTCTGCTATCATATGGTCTTGTGCCCAAAGTAATATGATGTTACAGGATTTATCCCGAGGAAGCTTGCAGTAGTAGGGTAGTAGGCAAATTTTGGTGAGTGTACTCCAGAAGAAAATGGTATGTTGTTGATGAGCAGTTATGGCCATTAGCAGAGGAGGTTCTTTCTTAGAAAATCTGAGACCCCATTTCTTCAGGACTGTACAGAATAAAGCAGATCTAAGATGCCTGAAGACATGCCTGTTGTTCATGGTTAGGACGTACCTAACCATCTTTTTACTAGCATAAATTATTTACTCTGATGAAAGTAAATATAAGAAAGAATCAGTAATGGAAATGATGAACTCCTTTGGTCAGTAAGTTGTTTAGGCCACGTTTGGACTGTCCCACTTTGGAGGGTATCCCAACAGTCTGAAAGCCTCGTGATCCTATCCCTTGACATGCCTCCTACATTTCCCCAATCTGCTTGCATGAAGAGGGACCAGAGTGAAAAACCTGTTACAGGAAGCAGCCGCTCTGCAGGTGGATACTTATTTCTCTTTTCTCTGTTTCAGTTCTGCTACCTGTGGTTCTCCCGGTGATGCTCCCAGCTCTCATCATCACTTTGTTAATAGTTGCTTATTGCTTCTATAAGTATTTCCTCAGGTAGGCTTGTGTTGTGACTAGGAGATTTAGCAATGTGTTGGCCATGTGGGTGACATAAAGGCTGAGGCACTTCTTGTCCCCCATGAGAGAAAGGTCTATGTGGAGATGAGCCTTGGTGTGCAGTGGGTGGCCTTGTGCATGTCTGTGCAAGGGTGAGAGTTGGGTGGTGGCGTGCCAGGGCCTTGGTGGTGCCTCACTGTGTGGAGCAGCATGGTGTACAGGGTGTGGTTTTTTTCTGGTTGCAGCTATGTTGAGAAGCAAATCTTGAAAATTCTTATTGTTGCAGGAAGAAAAAAATGTGGGAGGAAAAGATTCCAAACCCCAGCAAGAGTGTCCTGATCCAGAGCTACCTGGGGGTAAGAGGGAACTGTACCTTGACAGGTTCACTATTGCTCTCTCTTTTTCAGGACTTCCCATAATCTTATGTATATACAAACCACAGCTCTACAATCTTCCTGCAAAGCCTGACCTCACTTCCAGAGATCATGCAATTTCTTTTTCCTCTTGAGCTCCAGGAGTTCCCTATTCAGCCAAGCTTGTCATCTGCACTGCTTGCTTAACTTACGACACACTAGAATTGCCTTCTCCTGTGCCTTTAAAAGATGATTCTTAAAAACTGACCAGCACTCGGGGACTGCCAAGTCCTCAAAAGCAGATTCCCAGAGGACACTGCTAGGTAGCTCCCTGAATAGCTTAAAGTTTGCACTCTTGAAGTCCAGGGTAGCCATACTGCTGTCCTTTTTTCTCATTACCCTGAAAATTTTAAACTCAATCATTTCATGACCTCTGTGTCCAGCACAACCACCTACCATCACATCTCACACGGGTCCTTCCCTATTCACAAATAACAAGTCTAGGAGGGCATCTTTCCTAGTTGGCTCACTGATTACTTGTAGTTATGTTAGTGGTAAGGCAATATGGGTTTGAAGTAACCGTCTTCTAGTGAACGGAACACATCTTCTAGTCATATTAGTGAAGTTGTATCCCTGTTGTCAGATACTGTAGGCTCTCATATTTGTTTTCATTGTCCATGAGGAACGTAAGGTTCCTGATTCTACTGTCAGTGAGACACTGCTCTTTTGTCAAGTGTGCTTTTTTATTTTCAGAAAGTACATTTAGGAAACTGGCCAATAAGCAGCCAGCTGGATTTCAACAAATACAACCTTTCAGAAAAGATGGAGCAGGCTAGCTTCCTTCAAGTTGTGGACAGGTGAGTGAACAGCATGTTATAGGAACACTATGGATGATAGTCTCAAAGATCTCCCCAAGTCATGGCAGGATATAATCAAATGTTCTGTCACTGAAAAGCCTATAGGAGTTGCTTTTGAGGAAGGGATACATTTTTTTGCTATCTGGGTTACCCTGCTCCTTCAAGAAAGATTTTTGTAACCCTATGTTTAGCTATGTGTGTTTTCAACTAAGTTTGTTTTATATTTAATGTTTACTATCATAGTATCTCTCATGAGCAAGTTTTGACTTTCACACATTCAGGCAGACGAAGACTTTGGCAGAGTCCCCTGAAGAGCAGACTAAAAAGACAGATATTTCCCTTGCTGCACTGGACCTACAGAACTCATACCATGCTTTAAATGAGCCAGAGCATGCTCCAGTTGTCTTCTCAAGTCAGACTGCTGGTCATTCCTTTCCCGTTTCAAGAAGAAACAGTGCTGATGAAAGTATTGCTTCCCAGACAGCAGTCCCTTGCTTGGCTTTCAACGGTCCATACTTGTACAGCCCAGTGATGTCCTCCCAGCCTGATATGCACCAGAGCCTGAAAGCAGACCCAGTGGGAGCCCATGAGAAATCAGTTTCCCTTCAGTATGTGACCCTCCCAAAGGAAGACTGTCCCCAGGCACCACGGAGGCAAGAGCAGCCAGGAGCAGGTCCTCCACAGCCCTTCCTGCTCCCAGCTCAGAAGGAATCCATGCAGCACCTTGACGACGAGAAAGAAGTCTCACCAGACCCACCAGCCTGTGGGAAAGGCACGAACATGAGAACAGAAGAGCAGAAATCTCCAAAGGCTCTTAGCTGCATCACATCTCCTCAGCAGTGCCCCTTGGAGTACATCACCACAGACAGCCTGTCACTGCCATCAGCCAGCGACTCCACCCGTCCGCCCCTTGTCACCAGTGGGGAGTTCCCTTGTCACCCACAGGAGCCCCAGCCCCCCAGCGACCACTCTTGCCGTGAGTCTTCTCCTGGGAAAGCTGGTGTCATGGTCCCAGTTGCAGGTCAAGCACCAACCTCTTCTCCTGAATTGCACCTGGATACATTTGGAGACTATCTTACTGTCCCTTCAGATCTCCACGGACATTCAGAACCCACAAAGATTTCTTTGCCTGTCTTACAAAAGGGAAATGAACTTCCTAGCAAGCAACCATTGTCAGAGGGTAACTTGGTGGTGTTAAACCCTGACAGCACTGAGCCAGTTTTCCTTTGCCAGGTTGGCGACTATTGTTTCCACAGCCTAAAATCTAGTGTGAAGATGGATATTAATCAGGAAGACCACCAAGTCAAGAAACCTGAAGGCAAGACAACAGCTGGGGAACCTCTATCTGATAATGAAACCATCACTGGCAAGGAGAAGGAGGTGTCAAAGATGCAGGCTATTCAGCTTTTCAAAAACCTGAAATCAGATGATTACTTTTCCTGGCAGCAATCTTTGAGGATCACAGAAATATGTTAAATGGGCAAATATTAATGAATACCAAAGCTACAGGTAACCGAAAGAGCTTGCAACTATCTGATGAAAATGAACCCACAATTCTAGGAACAAATAAATGCTAGTTCTTTTTTCCATCTTCCAGCCCAATGTGTTGAAAGACTTGAAGTAGCTCAATACCCTTCTCAGTGGCCTTCACAGGTTTGACATGAAAGATAATCCAAATATTGCCCTTTGGTGTTTTTCAAACTTTTTGGCTTATCCACAATGAACAGTTTAGCCTCCTCATGATCCTGTGACAGATCACAGTCATCTTGAAATAATACCAGATTGCCTGAGACAAAACTCATGGCAGGAAATGCAGACTTAACAGCATGAAATGTTATCAGAAGAAGACAGGCTTGGAAACCTTGGAAAGAAAACTTATATTCTTAAAAGCAATTTTGTTGAACTTTTGGATGTGTGTAAAATAGATCTAAGAGTCACCAAGGAGCTTTCATATCTTTACCTTTCCACTACTGGCATGAGACAGGTATTGTCTAAGTTGAAAAAAAAAAAAAAAAACAAACCAGTAATAGAAAGGCAAAGAAAACATAAGAAAAAATTCTTAAGTCCAGGAAACCTTTCTTAATGTTAAGATGCAGTGTATCACAGCATATTCTAAGGGTAGGAAGGAAACATTACTGGGATGCATAAAGTAGTCTGCAGAGAATGATGGGGAAGAAGATACATTACTGAAAGAAAACACAAGGGCTCATAAGGTAGAGTGAGAGGAAGGGAATGGGGCAAGTTACAGAAAATGACAGACAAGAAATGTCGTGAAGGTGTGATATAATATACTTCACATTTGCTAATAGCCATGGTTAATAATTGTTTTAGTAGCTATAATTACCGCACATATGGGGACAATTGTGAGGCTCTGAAGGTTGGTTGAATGAAACTTTGAATAGTGGTTGAGATGACCTTGATTAGAGATAAAGTATTAATGAAGAATAGACTTTGATCTCCAAACCCTGGAAAATAGGTAGAACATCTTGGATCATAATAAGAATATGTGGGATTGACTATGTTAAAGATGAGTTATTTGACAACCTGGCAAAGTGACTATTCAATTAAATAACTTGGCAATGAAACCAACTTTTAAAGTGTCCTGAAGTGAACTACCTTCATTATAATACTAAAAAACACTCCCACAGGTCAAGAAGATCCCTGCTTAGGTCGAGACCCTTCCCCGGAACATGAATAGCAATAGAAATACTGTGTAAGCAATATTATAATTGTATGTTAATCACTAACCAATCAGTATCTAGTAGGCATGTTTGGAAAAGTACTAACCTCTGATTTTCATGTATAAAAGAAGCACCAAAACCTGCTGTTGGTGTGCTTGATTTGTGGAAAAGTCCACCGAGCACCCAGGCCTGAATTAATACAATATCTCTCCTGAGTATGTTAAGATTGGCTGATTGTATGCTGGGCATGAATCCTCTTTTTGGGTAACAGGTGCACAAGCCTGTGTCTGCTGGGGTCTTTCTACCTCTGAGTGTTAAAGTAATATATGATTTTGTTTTAAATTCATTGGCTGTTTATGCATGATATAATAAATCTTAACCATGTGATTTATTCTTAGTTTGTTTGTTGGGTGTTTTTTTTTTTTTTGACTAATAAGCTGTGTTGAGAAAGAGAAGCCATTTTCCCCCCAGTTCTGCTGTAAAGAAAGTGGTGCAAGGTAAGAGCATTTTTTTCAGAGTTATCACTCTGTGATAAGTAAAAGGCTTTGGTTTCAGACCTGAAGGTGGACTTGCATTCCAAAAAAGCATGCTTCTTTTTTCAAATATAAAACTTGTACTAAAAAAAAATATTATTTCTTCCTAGAACTCATTCTTTTCATATGTTAAAAGCATTGTAGTTACAATAACATTATTATTATCTCATCTGATCAGGCCTCAAAAAATTCTGTACATATAGCTATCCCACCTGTGAGGTAGGATGCTTTCTCCAGACTTTTCTATATTATTTGACAGAGATAATGAGAAGGAAGTTTGTGTTTGTGCCAGCTGATTTCTCCTATTGGGTTAATGGGGCTGTTCTGTTTCAGAAATTGCAGTGAAATGCATTGTTTTTTTTCAGAATTTAAATCCTTATAAATACCATTTTAAATTTGAAAGGTGTGAAAATTCAGTTTGGTGTTCTTGACAGCAAAAAGCAGGCAGTTTCAGTCTCTAATAGAGAATATAGATGAACACTTTAAGGGATTTTCAATTTAGTCCTTTCCTAATCAATTGAATCTTTTGTTAGTTTCTTCTTTGGCCTTTTATGAGTAGCACAAAGAATTTATTCCAGGTTGTATGATTGTGCTCTATCTAGGCATGTACTAAAATGAGATGTTCAAATTCATATGCCAATCTGGTATCTGGATTCACATCTTAGATATGCATCATCTTGCTGGGCCTTGAATTGCTGTAGTTTTAATAACCAAGAGGAATAATGAGTGGGAGAATTTTCATTCAGCTCAGGGGCGTTTGGATGAAGCCCATTCGCCTTGTGATCAGTACTCTAAGAGCTATCTGTTCCTCATGTCCTGCACTTCACTGGGCATTTGCAGAGGTTGCTTTAGGAAGCAGGATATATAGATACAAGAACATTTCATATGACTGCACAGAGCAGATAGTATGATCTGAAGATCACTTCAGGAGCCTGGAACTTGCAGAGTAACATGCCATTGTTGGGCTTGGGGAGCTAAACAGTGGTTTTCTTTTGCAACTATAATGATTGTTTTAGGGCAGAATGAGTTTCTGCTATAGGGACTCATTGTTCAGTACACACCTAAGCATTTTATAAAATATGTAATGAATATTGGAAGCACGGGTCAAAACCTATGGCTCTGCTGTGCTGGAGGAATCCACTTCTTACTGGGTTACAGAATCAAAGCTTTAAACTTTGTCTCTTACTGATCCTATGAATCTTCCATTCTCTTCTGCATGAGATCCAACTGCAGTGGGGGTGGTAAGAGGCACTGTACAATCCTATAGCCTGGTGATTCAAGACTTTGGGGCTGTTTTAAGTCCCAGGTCTTCAATTTCCTGATCATTAGCTTGAGCCACAAAGTTACTGTGCCAAAGGAAGCTGCTGCTTCCTTCCCCAGTGCTAAGTACTGATATTCATGAGAAGGATCATCATTCTGATGATTCAGGAGCCAATTAGGACATGCTCCTCTCTGTAGGGATTCCCACTAAGTAGTTACAGCCCCTCAGTCTGTATATCTGAGTGATAATTCACCAATGTTTCCTATATAGTCAAAAAAGGAGAGGTAGGCATTCAATTAACATTGTAAATCACATTTTACAACTCTCTATTTATATTGAATATACAGTTATGATATCATTGTAACCCTTGCTTTACTGTATTCTCAAACATTAAAGATTCTGCCCGTGTTTTAACAGCAGGCATTTTTCCTCTTAATTGCTCTGAAGTAATCAGTTTATTATTCCCTTATCATAATCTTCCTCAACCAGAAGTATATTACCTGAATTTGCATGAGATTAGGGTAGTAAGTATATTGTGACCTCAATAGTTCTAATTCAGATCCATGCTGAACTAGCCTGCTGTTCTGTTTCTGCTAGCCTGGGGGCCATCATTTATGTAAAGAAGGAAAATGAGGCTGAATAGTTTGTTAGAAAAGGAAGCCTGCAGTGGAAAGCCCTCTGAGGCCTCAAGAAACAATAGATGGAGAATTTCTGAGAATCCTGTATCTCTGCAGGGTAATGGAAAACAAACCCAGCCCATCCTGCCAATCCTTGTGTAGTTTCTTTTTCATTCAGGCAAACACATTTGTTCACACAATCTTATTCCCATATAACTCTGATGAATGATCTCCTCCTCTTCTCCTCACTCCCTACATGCTCCCTCTGGTCTCACTACAGAGCTGAAATTTGCATGAAAAGGAACCCCACATGCCATGTTCTGTATGTGGAGAATAAGTAGCACAGTGACTTCATGCCTGTTTAGGTCCTTTTTAAGTCCTTCCAAGTGGCTGCCAGGATTCCATATGCTCCAGCCTTTATCCTAACAAGTCCTCATATTACACAATGGATGTTCCACCATAGTGTTAGGTGGGTGGACCCAGACTCCTCTGCAAACTTGCTCAGCATGAGCTAGCTTTAGGTCAAAAGCTTTGTAGATTCATTGTGTCCTTTCTCACTTGTTGGTAGAGGAGCATATGGTCCTCATTGCTGAAGGCTGATCTGTTTGCCTAGAAATGTAGATATAAAGCTATCTGAAACAATTGGATGGCTTTTCCTTTACTCTTAAAAAAAAAAAATTCCAGATCCTTATTCACAGTGTACACATACATTGCAAACTTTTGATATGAGTACTTTTGCATCTGCTATAACCTTGCAGTGTACTTCTAACCTGTTTGTCCTTCTGCTGCATTCAGAAGTACATAGGATATTGATACACATTTTCAGGTTTATTTCATTCAGTGCAGATGCATGATGGAGTCATGATATAGTTTCAATATCTAAAGACACCCTTTTCTTCCCTTCTACTTGCAGCAGAGACTGTAATATAGGAACATTAGATTAACACAGTGGGTCTCAACAGTTATTCCATCTTGCTCAGTAATCTGTCTCTGACAATATTTGCAGTGAATGCTTAAAGCCAGGGTGTAGTAAACACGGAAAAATATATAGCAAATAATGAAATCCTTAGCCAATATCTAACTGATATTTACCTGATGGCTGTCTCAGAGCGTTCCTGAGTTGGAGGTTACATCTAAGCTACTCTAGAATTATGTACTTAATGGCTGTGACCTTTAGAAATTCAACTAACCCCTTTCTAAAACCACTTAAATTTTGGCTTTGTAATGCCTGATAGTAAAGCATTAATCATTTTGTTTATAAATAAAAACATTTAAACAAAAAAATGCCCACATTTTCTTGGTCTCATTTTGTGTCAGTTGCATGGTAAATTACTCCTTTGTTCTTGTTCTAGGAGAATTGATAAACCATCATTCCTTATATACCATCTCCTGTTTGAGATGCTACAAATGTCTATCAAATAATCTCTCAGCTGTTTCTTTTTCCAAGCTGAAGAATTCCAATGTAATTGGTCTCTCTTGCTATAGATCCCGTATTTCTGATAACACTTCTGTACTTTTTCTGTTTCTACAGAGTATCCCATAGTATTCCTTCAGAGTAAATAATGAGAAATTAATATGGTAGTCAAGAAATATATTAATTTGCCAGTCTGTGATAACTGTATTCTCCAATTAGTATTATTTGTCTGCTCTCACAGGTTCTTTGGTTATGTTGTACAGTTAGAATTATTTTTTTGTCACATGAATTTGTATGTATTTATTAACTCTGAATTGATTAATTGACTGAGAGCAGCCCTGCAGAGAACGACTTGGGGATAATGGTGTGTCACGGTTTGAACCTGGCCAGAGGCCAAACACCCTGCAGGTTCTTGCTCACCCTTCGCCACTCAGAGGATGGGAGATGGAATTGGAAGGGTAAAGGGAGACTCGTAGATTGAGATAAAACCAGTTTATTAACTGTAATAAAATAA